GGGGGGGGGGGGGGGGGGGGGGGGGGGGGGGGGGGGGGGGGGGGGGGGGGGGGGGGGGGGGGGGGGGGGGGGGGGGGGGGGGGGGGGGGGGGGGGGGGGGGGGGGGGGGGGGGGGGGGGGGGGGGGAGAGAATTGAAGGACACCAAGAGTGAAAAATGTTTCCATTTTTTCTCTCTCAGTAAGGGGAAAAAAACACACGCTATTTTAAGTCGAAATTAACTCTTCGCTTAAATTATTTTTCTTCTCCTTTTTATTATCCTATAATTAAATTATACCCATCTAAATTCAATTAAATAATTAAGTAAATCTATTCTATAATTATTTTTCTTTCTTTTCTTTATAATTTTTAAATTGATGTCGGTTTCTTTAAAGCTAAAAATGTTCATTAACTCGAGAGAGAGAAAATAGCTAAACGGGATGAAAGATCAAAGCTATATTCTTCGTTCACACCCTCAACTCCTCCCAATCGTCTCGTCTATACATGCATACGTACGCACCCGTTAAGATACGAAACAAACTCACACTTGTAATAATGGATTTATATTTATCCGTCACAAAAATAATTCAATCCTATATATTTAAGACCATATTTAATTAATTTTAAAAATGATAAATTAACGATAATACTGTGAACTTTGTAATTTATATAAAAAAATTTCTTTAAAATTTCAACAAAGTCTAAGAAACGCTTTATTATTATTATTATAATTATTATTATGTAACAATTAGTAATTTTTTTAATTTAAAAAAGTTTTATTAATACGCTTAGTTGTAAAAGTAGTATTAACACCCTTCAAATTTATAAAAAAAAAAATTAAAAAAAAATCTTTCTGTCAATATATGGACAAAAAGGAACACCTCGGACATTATCTCTAAATTTTTAATATTATGTTTGAAAGTTAATGAGAAATTTTGAAATATAGCACTGATTATTTATTTATTTTTTAATTGCATTTTTAAAATTTTTGAGGGTATTAATGAAAAATGAAGATAGTATTCCTCCTTTATAAACTTATGATCTTCTCCTAAATTAAACAAGGTGGACTCACTCTCAATAATCCCCAACCATTCTCCCCTCAAAAAAAGTACACTATAAGCCTCCTTTGAGGCTTATGGAGCTCTCGAACAACCTCTCCCCTTAATCGAGGCTCAACCCCTTTCTTTGGAGCCCCCGAACAAAGTACACTCGTAATTCGACACTTTAGTAATTTTTTACTACACCTTCGAGACCCACAATTATTTGTTCGACATTTAAGGATTTTATTGACATGGTTAAGTTTAGAGCATGGCTCTGATACAAAGTCTGGAATCACGACTCTCCACAATGGTACGATATTGTCCACTTTGAACACACACACACACACACACACATATATATATATATATATATATATATATATTATTTATTTAAATTTTAAGGTATGATTTAAAAATTGAGATGTTTTATTTTTCTCTTAAAAAATTAAGTTATTTAAAATTATTTAAAATTATCCCTTCAAGATATTTATTTTTACAGTACCACGATAGTTGGAGCAGTTCATTATCGTCTCTCCCTCAGCACCCGCCTTCTTTCTTCTCTTCGCGGAGGCTCTGTTTCTTATCCAAATTCCCGCAGCCATTAATGTCCAAATTCCTGCTCTCTCACTCCTACCTTCTCACCCTTCCCCACAAGCATCATTCCTTTTCCCTCCACAATGGCGTCTTCCCCCCCATCCGCTCAGTTCTCTCTACTGAGAAGCGGGGTAGAAAGAAGCGGCAGTCGCGGCAGCAACAATTGCAACAAAAGGACGACGATTCCACTGTGTTTGAGAAGTCCCTTCGCTTCACTTTCATGGAGGAACTCATGGACCGCGCTAGAAACCACGATCCACTTGGCGTTTCTGATGTCATTTATGATATGGTTGCCGCTGGATTGAGCCCTGGTCCTCGCTCCTTCCATGGCTTGGTTGTTTCACATGTTCTTAATGCTGATGCTGAGGGAGCGGTGAGAAACCAGATGCTTTCTCTCTTTCTTTTCCATTATCGGATATTTTGAAGTAAAGGAACTTTAACCCTTGATTTGTCTTTCCCGTTCCAAAAACTTATCTGATCGGTATCGTAATTTGAGGTTGAAGTTTTCTCATATAATGTAACCTTCGCATTTTTCACTTGGTAAACAGAAGACGGGAAAACGTATAACATAGACTGTATTTAATTTGATCAGGTGTATCCATAATTTGTCCCCCTTTTTCGTGTAGACATGGAGTGGAATACAATTTTTCCCCTGACAAAATAAACCTTGTTTCGGTTCCTTTGTCAATTTTGTTTTCAGATATGTATTTTTTTTCTCTCTCTCTAAATTTTATGGTTATGTTGAATGTAGATGCAATCTCTGAGAAAGGAACTAAGTACTGGACTTCGTCCCCTTCACGAAACGTTTGTTGCATTAGTTCGGTTATTTGGTAACAAGGGTCTTGCTACTAGAGGCTTAGAAATCCTTGCAGCCATGGAGAAATTGAACTATGACATTCGCCAAGCTTGGCTCATTCTTATTGGTAATCTCTTGAACTTCCTGACAATGATGCTTAAAACGTATATATTTTAGTTATGTTTATAGTTTGTTTTAGTTGCTTGAGTTATTTTGACTAGAGGAACTCGTAAAGAACAAATATTTAGAAGACGCCAATAAAGTGTTCTTAAAGGGTGCCAAAGGGGGCCTAAGAGCCACGGACAAGATTTACGATCTTCTAATTGAGGAAGACTGTAAAGCTGGGGACCATTCAAATGCCTTGGAAATTTCATATGAAATGGAGGCTGCTGGGCGGATGGCAACAACCTTCCATTTCAATTGCCTTCTCAGTGTCCAGGTGATGTATCTTAGTATTGGATAATTTTGTACAATTTTTTAGGAATGCGTAGTTGATCTCGTACAGGTATAGTTAATTAAGGATTCTATTTTGAATTTTAAAAAGTAGAAAGTGACCCTTATAATAATGGTTCTGATAGTGAGTGTATATATCTATATGTACGTTCTTCTAGACTTTACTGATTAAGCTTCCATTGGTAGGTGTCCAGCAGTAAGAATTTTTAACAGTCAAATTTGTTACTTTGCTCTCTTGGACTTTGTGGTTTGCATAACATAAGGATGACCACTTTTTCTTCTTCTTTTTAACTCTATAATTTCTTCTATCCGTCCTCCTTCTTCCCTCTCCACTTGTGTGGGGAGGGGGGACACTATAAGAAGTGGGGAATTTATTATTTGATGGAGTTATTGGATTAGTTTTGGTATCTGTATCTATAGGCTCTACTAGTTTCATAAGCTGTTATAGCACAGTTAACTTTCACAGTTGTCAAATTTTTAGTGCACAAGTCAATTTGTGTTTGTTAAGCATCTCGGAAGGCTACAAAGTATAAAAATTTGAATGTTTCTCCAAAGTCTTTACTAAATGTTGAAAGATCAAATTTTTGATAAACCATGAATAGGTTTTCTCAAATTGAGACCTTGAAATGGAAACTTATTTCCCATTCTCTTTTGGATCTCTATATTTGGTCTATATACTTTTATTGAAGTAGTATCTTAGTTCTGAACTTAGTACATAACAATGTAGATGCAGGTACAAATTTGTAGTTATCTTCTAATAAAAAAAAAATTGTAGCTATTTAGTCTATAAGCTTTAGCATATAGAAGTTTAAAATTAGTAATTATTTAATTCATAAACTTTTATATGTAACAAGTAGTCATTGTAGTTTAAAATTTGTAACAATTTAGTTTACAAAATTTGTATATAATAATTTAGTAATTGTTCTTAAAATTTGTAATTATTTAGTCTATATGATGAAAAATCCCGGTTAATGGGGGTTTCTAACATATAGATCTATAAATTGTTCATGGATCAATTGTATACTTCTTTTAACAATAAATCAAACTTTCCAATGAAGAAATGAAAATAGACTAATGCTAAAAAACAGAAACTCCACAAGGGAGTGAAACGAAAAGAAAAGAAAATAAAAACAATTACATAGGATAAATAAAAGCATACCATTTCAAATTAATGTCATATAATGAAAAATCCACGAAAACTTGGAAAGAGCGCACCAAGAATAAGCCTTTAGTCGAGCAGAATCAAAACTAGACGAGCAGAATCAAAACTATCAACCCATGATAAATGCTTATCTTTGAAAGTTCTTTGATTTCGTTCCATCCAAATTTCCAAGTAGATGGCCTCCATCGCATTTATCATAGAAGAGAAGCCTTCTAACTCATCAAAGGACCAATAATCAGCTGCATAAAATTATACTTAAAAAGATTGGAGAACACCCAACTGAAGTCGAACTAGTGGAAGAGCTTGAACCAACAATTTAGAGTATAACCACACCCAATGAGAAGTTGTATCCCTTGAACACTTTCATTTTTATTATATTAATGAGAAGTTGTTTCTTGTTATTAAAAAAAAAAAAAAGAAAAAAAAAAGAAAGAAAGCAAGATGCCTCTTGCTTCCTTAGAGGACTTTACACCATTGGAGGATTTGTAAACTTGTATATGTGTGTGCAATGGCTATTTAATGAATAATATTTATTTCCTCAATGCTAGTAAGTTATGAAGTCTACAATTGTCGTCCATTTGTGCTTGAAGCGGTTGGAGAGATCAAACTAATATGGTTTATTTACTTGTTTAGGCTACTTGTGGAATACCTGAAATTGCTTTCTCAACATTTGAGAACATGGAATATGGAGAAGGTTTGCACTATCTTTTCTGTGCTCGTGTTTTGTTTGATATTCTCAAAAAATGCATAGGCAATCTATCATTCCTAGTAAATATTATGGATTCCGGGCAATCTGCGGTGTGATGACCTACTCCTATTGTTAGCTTCAAGTTTTGGGTGGCATTGTTCTCTTCTGGTCTTTAGTTTAGGTTTTTGGTTTCCTTATATTTTATGGATTCTGGGCTGGACTTCTTCCTTTGTAAGTTTTAGTGACTCATTGTAATTTTTCTCCAATCATTGAAAATTTTGTTTTCTTTTAAAAAGATACGCAGAGCTAGAGCTTTTTTATGTTTGATTTTGTAGATGATTTTCATCCATCCATAATGTCTTGATATGCTCAAGACTCAAATAAAGAGTGGGGGAAAAAAAACTCAACTCAACAGAACAACTCGTGTTAACGGTCCTTGAGAATTTCAATAATCACCATTTGTTTTGGTTTATTTAACTTGTAATAATATTTTTGGTATATTACAAGAAGAATGAATCATTCGAT